AAAAGCAATAGCACTAAGTGCCTTGGTAGGATTATATTTTTCTCATGATATTTATTTATTTATTTATTTATGTCGTCATGAACTAGTAATCCCATCACAATAATCTGGGCTCGCTCAGGAGAAAAAAAAAATCCTCCTCCTCTGCACGACTCAACGCAGAAGACTAGGCCTCCTTCTCGTCCCCAGGAGCTCAGTGACAGTTTCACTCTGGTCCTGGGTGGCAGGGGGGATATTTTGCAGCCCGCCAAAAGGCAATGGATGGGGACGGGGGAGGCGGGGGGAGGGGGCGGGGAGGGAAGGTTACTGCGGAAAGGCGCATTTCTACTTGGATGGCCAAACGAAGACATAAGGAGCAAATCACGAGATAAACGACATCGCTCATGCCTTCTGCGCGATATAATCTACCCAGCGACCTAGTAACATTTTCTTTCCGGAACGCGGTTTTAAGATCTCGACGCGGAGAATAAAGGGGGCCAAGCTGCTGGGGGCCTCCCTTTCCGGAGCGAGTCCCATGAATCCGGCGAGCCCGCGGACGCCGTGGGAAAGCACGGCCGGTCACTGAGGCTTTGGAAAGCCCCGCTCGGAGCGGGATAGCACCGGCTCCGGCTGCGGGCGCTGGACTCGGAGTGCAGGTGTTTTCCCAAGTAACAGCTGATTGGCAGAGGCAGCGTGTGCCAACCGGCCGGCAGCCGGGCCCGCGGCCACAGCTCTCCTCCTCTGCCGCAGGGCCAGGGAAAAATATTAAAACAAAACAAAACAAAAAACCCGCTGTTGCTCACCCATTAACCCTGGGCTTTCTCTCGCCCTCGTCCACAAAAAACGCGGAGACGCACGGACTCCCCAGTCCTTTCGCATCCGAGCAGCACAACGGCCGCACATGCGGCTCTTCCCCCGCAGTCGGCGGTGGGGGCGGCCGAGGGGGGGGCTTTGGCATCCTCTGGGGTGCAGGGACCCGCGCCGGGTCCTGCTCCCCACCCGCCACGTGGGGGCCGACCCCTATCCCGGCCCCTACGGGTCCCTTGCGCCCGAGATGGAGGTGTTGCACCTCTCCTGCTGCGGCCCCGAAGAGTGTGTGGTTGCTGCTGGCAAACGCCCCGGGGGTGCAGAAGCAACACAGGGAGCAGCTCCGCGTAGCCCGCAGACACACAGAGCACGGGCTTTTCTGCAGTACAAACGTAGTACATATCCCAGCTCCCGGGAACGGCATGAGGGGATCGGGCACTTTTGCGAGTGTCCTTTCAGAGAAACAACAAATAAGTCACGAATAATCTCCGGGGCCGAGGTGATCCAGCCGGGAGCTGCTGAAGAGCCAGACTGGTCGCTGAACTTCTCCCAGAGTAAAGCAGAGTTTGGGAATTTGACTGGTGGCAGGACAAGGGGAGAGCGGGGGCTGGTAGGGGTAATGTAATGTGCATGTGTGGAAGCAGGGCAACAGTAGCAGGTAGCCTCGGGGAGGAGAAGGTCCTGATCGGGAAGCAGCCTGGGGCGGGGTGAAGATGCCGTGGGTCTCCCTCGCCCTCCCGCGGCCCGTGGACAGGGTAGAGGCCCGAGTGGCCCGCTCGAACTCCCGAGCGACAAGTGACGTGAAGGGCTCGCTCGCACCTCTTGCTCCCACGGGCGGTACTTCCCCCGCTGCTGCGGTAGCGGTGGCAAGAGGCCGCCCCGTCGGAGCGGCCGGGCAGAGGGGAGGCGCTGCCTGCGCCG